CACAAGCATGTTTAATTTAATTTGGGAACACTTCTTTCTCGCAAGTTTATTTTAATTGCAAGTAATTTAGAATAATTAGGATTTGTTAATTGTAAATCACGGTAGTGTTTAAGTCCTTGGAGTTGTCCAAGGCAGATTTCGTAACCCATTCTGCAGGAAGGTATCCCTCCCTCTTGCAAATCGTCTGAAGGCGCAAATTTCATTTTAATACAACGTTCTTCCCGCCATCTGCGAAGAGGTCGACCGTGAGGAAGGAAAGGGTCGTTGGGAAAGTCCTCCTTTCTTACTTTCAGCAAAGTAAGTGGCACGCCCGCATCAGATTTCACACGTGCGATGCCACTAGAGGATTTTTGAGGAAACACCTATTTTGTAGTTGTTTTAAAATAAATAAATTTATTAAACACCTGCTCTCAACGATTTGGACAAAATCATTAATTGCAATTTTCAAACCACTATATCAAATGAGCTCTATATCTTCCCAATTTTATTAATTATTATTATTATTATTTAAAATTAATCTTTTCCACTTAAGTCTTTTTCTAATATTAAATTTTTTTGATATTTGAAAGTCATATTAAATCTTAATTAATTCAAAATGAAATTAAGTTAAACCCATAAGAAAAAACTCTTTCAATGCATATATTTCTGTATATAAAATTCAAATTTGATATCCTACTTAAGAAAAATCAAATTCTTTTCATTCAAACTAACAAATGGTTAATTCCATTTAAACCTTATAAACAATCTACTAGATGCTGAACTCCACCAAGCAGCTCGATAAGTTGCGCGCCTTATTGAGGGAGGTGGGATATTCACCAGATCTGGAGATCGAACCTTCAATTGCTAACAACAAATAAAAACTAACTTACTAACAATTGCTTTTGTCAAAAAAAAAAATCTACTAAATGCTTAAAAATTTTGGATATTTCAAAAAGATTAAACACATTTAGAATTTTTTTGAAAAGAAAAAATATTAAGTTTTCTACCATAACACATATGAAAACATATGAAACCACGTCAAATCGGATCATTAAACTATAAAAAATTGCATTATTAATAAAAAAAATTGGAGAGAAACACCTGGAAACTAGGGAAAATTTTTATTCACTTTCAAATATTTGGGTATTATTGCTCCAATAGTTCCCTCTCCAATTCTTCGCTGCTCTCCGCTGTTCTCAACTGTGTTACCCCTGCTCTCGATTTCTTTTTCGGCGGAGTGTGGTACGGTCACTTAACTTTTGTAGAATTTGGTCCCTGAACTTCATTTCACGCTTTTTTGTTTTTTCTTGGCTCTAAATTGGTCCTTCATTAGTGGATCGTTAACTTGATTAAAATTTATGCCTCCAATGAATACCTGGATACTTTGCACATTGTAAATTGATAATGTGGGCAAGTTTTTTGTCTAACCAAAGGCACTTAACTTTAGAAAATTAAAATGACATTAAATTTATTGGTTGAATTTTTTAAAAATTAGATAAAAATTTTAAACTATTTCATTTTAATAAAAAAAATAATAAGAATTAATTACAAAATCTATCAAGACCTTAAATGGGAAAGACCCCCAATATATATGAGGGGGTCTCCTCATTTAAGAATTTGTATTTTATGGCTTAGAATAATTTAAATTAGATTAAACCTCCAATTTGGTCCCTGAACGATTGTACAAATCCCTGATTTTGTTTCTAAATTATTGTACAAACCTATGATTTAATTCCTACTGTTTACTGTTTTAGCCCTAAGTTGATCCTTTCATTAAAAAAACTGACATGTTTGTTATTTAATGGCAAAAAATAATTATTTAACGGCTACATATCACGTTAATAACAAGACAAGTCAATTATTTTTTATACAAAAAGACCAGTTTGGGGCAAATTGATAAACAATAAGACCAAATTGAGGGTTCGTACAATAGTTTAGGAATCAAATTAGGGATTTTTTAGTTCAGGGACCAAATTAAGGTTTGTACAATAGTTTAGGGACAAAATTTGAGATTTAACCTTTAAATTATAAAATACTTTTTCAATAAGTCAAAACTCCTCTGTGCCCCCTAAACATTTTTTTTTTCATGTTTTATATCCTAAACTAATTTTCTTCTCGATCAACACTTTTTATAAATGAAAAACCGTAAATATCCCAAAAGTTAACGGAGATGTCATGTGCCTCTCACATGAATATTAAATTTGTTAATGTTTGATGACATGTCAAACTTTTGATGATGTGTATGAATTTCACATGACATGGCATATGAGTCAAGCAAAGTGGATATATTTTATATGAGGTGGTTATTTTTAATGACATGGCATGCGATCCAACATTTAGAAAGATACTAAACTAATTTTGATATGGTCCCTTCATTTATTGAATTTCAAATAAGATTGGTCCTTAGACATTATAAATTTTAAACTAATTATCCAATTTAAAAGAAAAACTTTACTCCAATCAAACTAAACCGTTTGAGTGTAGATCAAAGATACATGTTAGTTTCCATGCCAAGCCTGCGATTAATTTCCTTTCTAATTGCAAGTTGGTCATCGTTGATCATCTTGACATTGACACCAACATGGAGAGCAAGCTGGATAGTCTCAACACTGCCATGCCTTGGAGGATAAGCAAAATGTAGTTGCTGAATATCCTTGAGTTCCTGCTTTGAGTTGATCCTTCTCCAAATGGTCCTGCAAAATCCCGAGGTTGGTCCTCGGGGAGAAACTCCGATGCTTAAGTCAGTATTTTTCCAATCATGTTTTTCTTTTTGTTCCGCCTATTTATCGAACCTTACCTTGCGGGCTTTGTCCATCTTGGCAAGGTACCCACGTGGCTTGTCCGCACCCACGTGGCTCAGTCAACCCA